TCCAGGCTGATATATGTGACGGAAAATTGTGGGCGAAGGCAGCGAGAAAGAGAGCGGGACAACGAGCAGAAACAGAAGCAGCCGACGGAGAAAACGAAGAAGTACTGGCACGAAGTGGGGTGAAGAGAAAGAAGAAAGGGGTGGTGGCTCGGCCGAGGGCGGACTCGTACCTTGGCGCGCGTAGACGAAGGGAAAACGCGTTTTATTTACGAATTATTTCATTTGTCGCGAGTATTCTAATTAGACCGGCTATTTCTAAGCTGCAACACCACCGCCGTCGCTGTCGCCGTCGACGTCGCCGACGCCGCCGCCACCGTCGTCGTCGTCGTCGTCGTCGTCGGCCCTGAACGCAGCCCTCGTCCGAGGCTACGTTCCACGGTGCAACGGCCACGCTCTAATTGCATTACGGAAACATGAGTTTCCCCCGGCGAAATATATCACGAAACTTATCGCGCCACGAAGAAATTGCCGTGGCTCTCGCATACACTTCGCCGGCGCGCAAGTGCAAGCCTCGTAAGCTCCGGGGCCCGCCTACGTGCGCCCTTATACCTGCCCACCCACGCGAAGCATACATCACGGCCCGCACTTTCGGTCCGCGCGCGAAAAGAAAGAAGAAAAAAAAAAAAAAAAAGGAAAAGAAAAAGTAACGGGGAAGAAAAATAAAAGGACAAAGGAGAAAAAATGGACGCCTTCTTTCCATGCCTCGCGCTCGACCTCGTTGCCCGTTCGAGTTCCGCGAGGATCACGACAAAGTCGCGGAACGCGGACTGGCAACGACGAGTGCACGGCTCGCGGTATCGGTTTTACGTAACTTTCTCATCCCCCAGGGTCGAACGCGGACACGCGTCGACTTAATTAACCTCGCAAGCGAACCCCGGGAATGCCAACTGGACGGGTGCGTGGACGACGAGGTTATTTCGAAAGCATCGAGTCGCCCGAGCCGGTGGAAAAGTTATGCGCTACTAATTTGCGCGCGGACACCGGTTACGGTTAATTACGAGGCCGGCGGCGAGGGAAAACGTCAGCGATATGGACAGATGCCTGAGAAAATATTGGCGGCACGGGGGAGTGCAAGTAAACAGGGAGCCTTGCCAAAAATTCCGCGCGTCGCCGCTACCGGAGATGCATGCGTTTTCGCCCCACGCGGTACCAGCGCCGCGACGCAATTAACACCGTTCGGGACGACGCGGTCGCGCAATTATCGTGGCACCGCGTGGGCGTCCCTGGAACGTGCACCGAATAAATATTAACGCGTGGCCCCGATGAAAAAATCCCGATCGCCCGGGGCCTCCTTAAATTTGATTTGTGCTCAATTACCGCGCTCCGCGTCCGCCAGCCTGCACCCTCTTCGGTCCGCGCGTCGAGCGCAGGCAGACGCGGACCGCTGCGCTGCTGCTCTCTTTCGCCTTCTTATTACACGAGCGGCGAACGAAACGACGTTTCGCGGAGCGTCGCGACGATTTTATTTATACGCGCCGCAAACCACCCGCGTCTCCGTGGCGTCGCGGTTGCAGCGGGAACGCGGGTGCACGCGGTGCGGACCAACCGCGCGTCGAGGGGTCCGGGCGGGGGGTGAAGGGGGACGGGAAACGCGGAGCAATTCGTTTCGCATTTTATATCCGGCCGCTGCGAACGTCGCTGATTCACCCCCGAATCGACGACACCGAACGGGAACGCGGATTATTTCGATCCGCCGCGTGGTTTACTGAACCTCGGACAGCTGAATTTGCGCCGAATTCCCGACCACCTTTTTCCTTCGCGACCGACCTCTCCAGAAATTCCGCGAATTTTTAACGCGTCGGGAAGAACCGTGGAAACGTTTAAAACCCGAATCCAATGGACGGAAACGATCTCTCGAGCCTCGAAGCGTCGACGCGACGAAATTTCATCCGGCGACGACCGGAGGGGAGAGCGCGCATTTTCCGTGAAGTTGTTCGAAGACGGAAGGGTAAACGGGGTGCTTAAACATCAACGGTAAACAGGGGCCGGTGTAATTCGGATGCTGGCGCAGGTGTTACGCGGAAACATCTATCAAGATAGCGAGATACGAGCGAGGGGGAACTCACCGGTCCTCTGCAAAGAGAGCGGCGCGGTGGGTGGGGGCGGGCGCTGTGGATCAACTCGAAGAAACGGGGGATTTCTCGGGGACAGGACGCACTAAGCCTGCGAGAGGGTGCTCTCTGGCTCGTCTTAACCCTTTCCGCCTGGTGGCGGATCGCGTGGAATTAACTTTTCTCCGGGGGTTTGCTCGCTGACGTCCTCGAGGCGTGACGCGGATCAACGAATTTTTATCTCCGCTCGGATTTCGCTCGGAATTACCATCCCGAACGAGCGTCCGAGCGTTTATAGTCGCGGTCGTTTAATCGGGAATATCGGCCGCCCGTGGTATTTACGAATTAAGCGGACGCCGAAATAAGTTGGCCACCGTTGAGGAAATTTAATCGCGTAAATTACCGTTCCAGGCCCGATCCAGCCCTCTCCTATCCGGCTTATGGGCTCGAAGATATTATACGACATACGCGATCCTTTCTACCTCAACCCGGCAAATAAAAGAAATATTCTAGGCAATAACGTTAAGTAGATGTCTCACCCGATACCACGAAATCGCCTTCCCCTCGAGTCGTCTTACCCAGCGAATGCCGAACCCAGCGAGCCCCCCAATCATCCCCCTTCCCAATTTCCTGCGAAATTATCGATTCGTCGTAAAAGCCTGCCACCGTGAACGTCCACGACGAGAGTCGAAAAGCAAACGATTACCCGCGCACACGCGCCGCTGCCATGAAACGGCGGAGAAGCGGAGAAGCGGAGGATCGGGCCAAGATAATCCCACGAAGGCGCGCATCGGCAATTAAATTCGCGTTTCCCGGAGAACGAAACGAAAGGCGGCGTATCCCGCGAGACTAATCCCGGCCCGCCATAAACAGCAGTCGAACGATTAACCGTATCATTATGAATCATAAGAGGAACGAAGGCAGCGGCTTATTAATTGCGATCGTTTCGACCGGCATTCCGCGTACGGCAAATTGCCGTAAGGTAACGCGAACGGCCGTAAAATGTAACGTGGCCGTCGTTGGCTGGAATCTCGAACGCGTTCGTTTTTTTTCTCCTCCTCTCTCCCTCTCTCTCTCTCTCTCTATCGCGTGCTCTCTTTTTACCTCGTTCCTTGCCTTTTCCTTTTTCCCTTTCTTTGCCTTTTTCTCCCTTTTCTTTTTCCGATTCGAGCATCGATGGGGAGAGCGCGAAAGAAAAAATCCGTGGACGTTTAACTGGAGGCAGCGAGCCACTCGTAACGCGTTCCATATATCAGCGACGCGTTCGTGGAATGTTCCCGCTAACGATTATCGTTCGAAGGTTCTCATACGCGGACGATAACGCGCGGCCGAACGTGGAGCGTGCATTTTCGAACGGGCCAATTTAACCCGCGATGATAATTTAGGCCGCGATCGGATAGCCCGGAGGGATGAGAATTAGAGAAACGGTAAGAAAGTATTCCAAGAGCGGCGCGGCAGCGAGCGCGCCGTGTCGGGCTTATCAGCCGCACCTGCAGCCGCATTCTAAGCGGATGCAGCCACCTACGAGGGGCCCGGTTAACCTGTTCGCGATCGGTCGACGATCGAGAGGAGATCCTGGTCAGCGGACGATACGCGCGTGTACAGGGGGGCGCGAGTGGAGCGGCAATGGGCTCGCGGTGTCACGCATTTTTCCCTATCGCGTTTATGGCGAACGGAACCGAAAATCTCGCCGGAGTACACGCGCTCGTGAGTGCGTTTATCGGTAGCGTCAAAATTCCACGGAATTTACGGTATTCCCCGCGTCGCGATACACGAGCGTCCAAGACGAGGCAACGAGAACGTCCAACGCAGGGATAAAGAAGAAGAGAGAAGTATAAAGAGGCGGTATACGCTCTGCTGCTTCTTGTCTCGGAAATCGGTCGAGCCGTGCACGAACGAGAGACGCGATCGCTCTCTCCCTCTCTCTCCTTCTCGCTCCATCGACGGCCCAGATACGAAAATCGTAAAGTCGCTACATAATAGCGGCTAGTATAATCCGGTACGGCACTTCGCGCCGAGATTAAAGGTGCATAAAGCGGGCTGGCATAAACGTTTTACAAGCTGCTCGCCTACCTGGCTGCCAAGCGTGCAGCCGCGCGAACGAGATATTATTTCGAACGTCTCGTTACGTCGCTGCCAGCCGGCTTCGACAGTCTTACGCTTTTATTCCGTCGCCCCGCGGGAAATACCGAACGAGGGAATAGAATAACGCGTTTAAAGAAATAATCGTCGAACAATGCGACACACGGGGGGCGGTCGTTAAGGTTTACGATAGTGAAAGTCCAACGACGCCGGACTATGCGACGCGTGACGCGGGAAATGGGGCCCGATGGACAGACCGAAATCGGATCTCGTGTCTTTTCCTCTCGCGCTGCGAAACGCCGATGGTCTAGGGATAAAGGGAAATAAGATTCGCGCGATCGTGGCGTAGGTACGTAGCGAGCAACAAAGATCGAATTCCTGAATTCCTGTCCGACACGCCGATACGTCAAATTCTTTTCCGCTTGGCTCGATCGCTTTCCTTCGCACGGAACGCGACGCGAAAACCCATTGAAACGGCAGCTTTATCTTCGACAAGGGGCACGCCAGGAATCCCGCGGGCTCAACAATGCCGTCTTAATGGCGGCGCGGGGACAGGTATCGCGGGAATTTCGAAATCCGGCGCACCGGTGCGTGCCTCGTGCCCCAGTGCTCGATACCGTTCCTCGTATTTCGCGCCATCGACGCGTTCACCCGATCCATTTCGCTTTGTTTGCCTCGTTTAACCCGTCGAGCACGGTCTCCGCGCGTTTACGCTTCGTATCGGTAACCGGCGAAAAGGAATTCCCGCTCCGATAAGGATAAGAAACCATCGAGAAAGTGTCCACTCGCGAGTATCATGCTGCGAGAGTTTGTATTCGCGTTTGCTACTCTAATGCATGCGATGAATTTTCAGCGTGCGTGACTCACCAGTTGTTAACCTGAAGGATCGTCAACCCCGTGTCCTGAGCAAGCTGCTTCTTCTGGTCTTCCGAGGGGTACGGATGCTGCAACGGAAAAGAAGAAAAGGATAAACTTAATGAACGCCTTCCTCTCCGGAGATACGCTCGCGATGTACACACTGTACCAGATAGCGCAATAACGCGATGCGCGTACAGATACCTGTTCCATCTGGTACTCGATATCGCGAAACGTCCTAACCCCCGTTACATCTTGCTCGCTAAACGCGAGTATATCCGAGGCGAGCCGGTCGCAAGTTGCGCGTTATTTACGAGGACACATCGCCGAAGCGAGGCCAAAGCCCGGGCCGTTCCGCGTTCACCGGCAGTCTATGCTTTTAAACAATTTATCGAGTGATTTATCGCGTAACAGGTAAGTGCACAGAGCGCATAGATGCACCGGGGGACTTTTATCTGCGCGACGGCAGTCGCATTACCGGGGCGTCGCGTCGTCTGGACGCACCTGCGAAATACTATTTATTGCCGGGCAACGGCGGCGATAAAAGAAGAGAAAGGGTGCGCGGGAAAAATGTAAAAATTGCAAGCGGAGGAAGAAGAAGGAGAGAGGAAACGTAACGTAAGGGAAGGGTAGGAATGGTAAAAAGCTCGCGCCTATGCAACGCGAACCAACGGCGTTTTATCGGGTCGTCGCGTCGATGCAGATGCACACACGCGCGTCCTCCGGTGCTCGTATTGGCTTTCAGGCAAGACGGACTTTACGAGGGGCCATCCGAGATATACGGGAGAAAGGTCAACGGCGGAGGGACGCGTCTCGGATAGGCGGTTTACAAGATAATCTCTGTGTAGCGAATTATTGAAGGAAATCGACGGATCCGCGACGATAAAGCCGCGGGAACGACAGCTTTACATGACCGCGCTGGATTTAGCGACGGCAAGAAAGGTCGTAGCAACTTTGTCGCTAGCTGCTACGCCCAGCGTTGTAAATTATTCTCCCTTGTGTCGCGTTTTAACGTTTCCCTCCACTCCCCTTTTTGGCAGAAACTCGTTCGCCAACGGGTCAGAGAAATGCTACTAACCTTGCGAAATTAATTTCCTATGGCGCAGAATCAACGGCACAGCTGGTCACGCGTCGAGCCTTCGCGTCCGAGCACGTCGAAGAATAACACACGACTGAGACGGAATGTTCTCGACGAAAATTAACAAGGAGCCTCGCGCCTATGCTTACATAGGGATTTAGCTGCTAGAAACCACGCCTCCCGGCCATAACATTTCCGGTCGACTCGAATTCCTCGCTACGAACCTCGACACTGTTGACAAAATACTCCCAAGGCCAATTCACCTCGATACTGGTTTCGCGAACGTGGTAAACAGGGAAGAAAAAAATTCCCGAACGAGCAGCGAGAGTCGAAGAAGGTGGATTACAACAGAATAGGAGTGGAAACGATGAAGAGAAAGTAATATGCGAGGGATTCGTTTTGAAATTTGAGCGAGACAGGTTGGAACAGCCGCATATTCCCGAGCGAGCAGCGAGAGTCGAAGAAGGTGGATTACAAGAGAATAGGAGTGGAAACGATGGAGAGAAAGTAATATGCGAGGGATTCGTTTTGAAATTTGAGCGAGACAGGTTGGAACAGCCGCATCTAACGGGGAAAAAATGGCCGTCCGTGACACGAGTGGCAAACGGTGCTCGCCATTGGCAACAGCTCAAAGGCGCGGCGGCGAAAGCGGGGCTAGATGCATAAATGATGCACTCCTCGGTTATTCCATCGGTCTTGTTGCGCCAGTCCATAAATTCGTGTATAAATCTCATCGTTCTTCCAGCGAAGTTACTGCTCGCATTAATTTCGCACTTGCGGCAACACCGACCGCTCCGATGCGCGCCGCGCAACAGGAAGACGAACGACACGCGCCCGAACCTACGAGCGCGCGAACGGAAACGTCCGAGCGGAATGTCTCGGCCTTCGTGGATCGCCTTGATCCGCGTGACACGCGTTTCGTTATCGTCCAGCGGGAAACCGACCTATCGCTATTAAAAATTCGCGAAATTAATCGCGTTCCAGATCTCCCGGCCATTTTGATCATCGTGGAAGACAGCTCTCGATCGCGGGAAAACCGAAATTAGGCGTTGCTACGTGTTCCACGAAATCGTCGCGAGGATTGAAACGGTCGTTGAGCGATTTGCAGGAGCGTATTCTGTGCGCCAGAAATGAGAGACACTGGGAGAAAAGACGTCGCACGCGATCCGCGGATAATCGCGTTAATTACATTACGAGTTACACGAAACGCTGGTCCCGGGGGGACAATGCGTCGTGCATCTTAATTTTCATCTCTCGTATTAGCTCCCATCGCGATATTACAGTGGTCGGTGAACAAACAAATCGCGGGGACCACGGGTCTATTTATCACGGAAAGCGTGGGATTCGCGCGAATGTCGAATTCGCTACTTTGCACGCGTAAATGTCACGTCTACACATCTGCAACTTTGTTTCGCGTCTTTGCCACAACTATCGTTCTCAGATTTCTGGCATATGTCCCGTAGAATCTCCCAGGATACATCGCGAGTTTGAAGGTCGGCTTCGTCCAAAGTTACACTTCACGGCGAAGAAGTATATCTTCGCTTCGGGTCCATTGTCTATGTAACATGGAACTTTGCTCCTTCGTGTCTCTTCGTTATTCCACGCTATCGTGTTTTTGGATTCCATCCTTTATCGTCGCGATTTTTTTATTTCCTTATATCGCCCTTTTATTGGGGGCCGCAACTTCCTCTGTGAAGCCGCTCGCTACGCGTGGTCTCCTTTTTCGTACCACGCTCGCTTTTTCTCCTTATACCGCGATACTTTCTGCTACATTCGTACCGCTTTTCGCCTCGCTGGAATTTCTTTCTCTGCTGTCTTTACGTTGATTTTTATAGTTAGCGCTCCTCTTTCCTTGCGAAGTTAAGCCGTTTTCCTACCGAAATTCCCGTAGGAACAACGGGGATCGGTAGGTGGGACAGCTACCCGACTGGAGAAACTATTTCCAAGTCCCAATTTCGCCAGAATGTAGTTCAGCGAGGTACCGCGAAAGACAAACCCACGAGATGATAATGGGATAGTATTTCCAGCCACTGATCCGGGGCGGCATTGTCTAGTTGGAACCAAAAGAAACTGGAAATACAACGATGTAACACGCCCAGGTGCTGTCTAATACTGTTCCCGATAAGACAAGTACACCGTTGGAATCCTTATCGATTATCGAGAGCGATCTACGCGCTCGCTTCCTCGTGCGATAAACGGGAAAAGTTATCGATGCACCTTGGAGCTCGGCGGTGGATTAAATCAGGCCCGGGTTCGCGCGGCGACACGTTCGGCCGTAATTCACGGACAGGTCGCGCAAACATTAAATTCGACGGGAAATCGGGCCCCACGAACCGATGCCAAACCCGACGGTGGCGCGCACGAACGCCGGCGTACGCGAGCGGATCCGGCTGCGCATAAAAGCCCGCGGCTGCACCGCAAGCGGCCGAACCGCATCATATTTTTACATAATTAGCACGTGGCGCTCGCGGTATTACGTTCCCGGCCGTGCCTCGCCACCCGCCAACCCCCTAGCTCGTTACTTTTTGCCGAAGCCTGCGGTATTTTTGGAAACCGCTGTAACCCGCCACCACCCCTTCGCCCCCCTCTGTATATCATGTTTCTTGGAGGCGAGCCATGGTATACATGCACCAGAAGCGTGGCTTCGCTTCTCCGCGCTCGCTCCGCCTCGCACCCCCCTCAACCGTGAAAGCCCATTGTGCGGCCGTGTATACGCGATCCAAGCGATTCTTATCCTAATTAAATCGGCCGAGAGCATTGTCTGCCCGTGGAGTTTCTATCGGATCTTGCCTGGCTACCTAGCGTTCTCTCCATTTGCGGCGTAACGTCATACCGAAGTACAGGGACGACCGGGGGTGGATTGAGACGTGGCTGCGGATTTCACCGGGACGGAACGCGGGTGTCTAAAGTTTGAGGGATCGTATAACGCGGGTATACCGCCAGAGATGCATTCGAATATTAATAGAGACGGGAAGTTTTCGAGTTAACATCTGGGACAGTGCAGAGCAGTGCAAGGAGATTCAGCCGCCGTTGGAATTATCGGAATTTTAAAGCGTAAACTTTCCAGTGAAACGCTAACTACCACGTCCGATAACGAGATTATAACCTCTCCGCTCTAATTCCGACTCCGTATCTCTGTTTCCCTGCATCCATTTCCAGAACATGGTCAGACACGTCGAATGGTCATGCACCTTTACCGTTCGCACGCCAATTACGCGTCCAAATACTCTTCCCTCGCACCTGTGACGCTCGAGCCCGATCATACCAGCGTCTATCGTCCTATTGCAAACGCTTTTCACCAATTGCGAGTCTCATTGGCCGTGGTATCGCGAAAGTTTGGACGAGACGGGATTTTGGGTTTAAAGAGGGAGAGAAATCGAAACGGTGGCGATAAAGATTGACCCCGGAGAGATTTATCGCGAAGCGGGAGCAAGCGGAAAAGTCCGGGGACTTTTCGACCAGCTCGTATTTCGTTGGCGAAATCCAAGGACTTCTTCCTTCTTCCTCCTCCGGCTCGTTGGTGTATGCATAAAACAATCAAGATAATTGTTGAAGCTACATGGGGACCGGCTGGCTGACTGCTTTCCACCCTCGTCTGGGATCGTGGTAGCTGCCGGAACGGAAGGCGGGCGGAAGTAAAAGGGACAAAGAGGGAAAACCGTTCTGGCCTGCAAGCCCCTCCCGCCGCCGATGCTTTTCCACGAGGGTCGCCCACCCCCGCCGGGGGCCACCCGTGACGATGCACAACTTTGACTCGCTAAAAGTATTACCGCGAGAAAGTTGCAGGTAACACTCTGCGAATTGAATGAATCTTGCAGACGCCTCTCGTTCCTCCCGCTCAGCGTTCCTCGATTAAGAAACGAGCGTGTCCGTGAGGGAACCTCCGTCCGGGAAAAATGGCCGGTGGGTGATGGATCTCTCGATCGCCATTCCAGCCCTATCTCGGACGCGTCCTCCTTTCGATTCACTGGCCGACCGATACCAAAAGATCTTTCGATACCTGGCAATTGC